TTTCCTCAGTCAAGTAGGACAGAACTAGAAAGAGCTTCTGTCTCTTCCAGCTCCTTGAGCCAGAGTCAAGCTATGAAATGAATCCTCCAGGAATCTGAATCCCTTGGCCCATTCCTGCCAGGCCCCTTTGCTAGAACTGTGCCACCTTTGTACCCTGGGTGGCTTCCTAACGCATGGGCCATTGTTCAGTCTATCACTAGTGCCAACAAATATGCCTCTTGGGTTAGATGACTCTCCCAAAGAGAGATGTTAACTCCTGCTGTGATAATGCTGCAAAACAAGCCACCCCTAAATTCATAGGCTAGAAGAGCAAGCATTTGTCTTTCTTGACTATGTGTCTGTCTACAGGCCATAGGTTTGATTCCAGGCTTCTATAAGCTCAGATCTATTCTCCCTTTCTCCATATTCTCCTTGAAACATCAGCTATCAGGGACCTGTTCTTATGATAAATTGCAAATACATGAGAGGCAGAAACCCAACTGTGCTAACATGTTGGAAGCTTCAGCTCATACTACAATGTGTCTGTTCACATTTGTCTGTTAGCCAAACCAAGTCAGATGGCTAAGCCCAAAGTCAAAAGGGAGGAAAATATACTCTATTCCCAGAGGAAGAAAAGTGATTGATATTTGCTGAATATCAATTTCAATGAATATCAATATCAGTATTTGCTGATAATCTTTAATCCATCACAGGGAGTTAGGTTAGGACTTCAACACGTGAATTTGATGGGACACAATTCAGCCAATAACAACCTCTTTAGTGAGAGGAGATGTGAGTTCACGTAGCAAAGCAAGCAGAAATAAAAACTGAGATCACTTTTGCCATTACCAACCCCGCATGGCAACACCAATCTAGCTTTTGCCCCAAGCTAGACCAAGCTCTATCAAAAGGAATCAGGGTTCTCTGAAGAAATGGCTGTTTCAATGGCAGAGACAGGAAATATACAAGACATGCCTAGAGCACCTTATAGTGCCAGAAAGTCAGGAAGTGTTCAAAATGGAAAGGAAAAAAAAATCCACACATTGATGGCAGAAGGTCAGAGACATAGGAGACAACTGAAAGAGCGCCCAACAACCAAAGTTGGAATAATTTAACAACAAAATAAAGTAGTATTAAATTATAATCCAAAATATAAAATAAATATGCACGAGTCCATTCTGATATAAATAAATGACTGAACAAGTTAATAAATAAAAGGGGGAAAGGAAGAGAAGGGACAATTTTCATGTGCACAAGAATTCCAAATAAATTATATAGATACTCTTCTCTAAAGGAGGGGAACATAACTCTCCACTCTCCCTAAGTGTGAGGGCTGCAAAGTGACTTCCTTCCAAAGAGGACAGTATGATGGCAGGGGGGTGGGGGAGGAAACTTCACAGTTTCCTGACTGTCACAGAAACCTGACAAAGCCTATCTCAGCAAAGTGATCAAGGTCATATGATGAGATGAAAAAGCACTTTACTCTGTGGTTTTCCTCCTAAAAACCTATAATCCCAGTCTAGTCATGAGAAAAACATCAGACAAATTCCAATAGGGGGCACCCTACAATATACCTGAGTATACTACTCAAAATGGTTAAGATCATTGAAGATAAGCAGAGTCTGAGAAAACATCACAACCAAGAAGAATCTAACAAAATATGATGGCTAAATGTAACGTGGCATCCTGGACAGAATTCTGGAACAGAAAAAGACATTCGTTTATTCATCTTTCCTTAGTTTAACCTATGAACTTTGGTTCACTGGTTAAAACACTGGTTCGCTGGTTATGACAAATATACCATATTAATGTAAGATGTTAATGGAGAAATGGGGGTAGAGGCTAAATACTCACTTTTTTTACAAGTCTAAAACTGTTCTTTAAAAAGCTATTAATACAAAAAAAATGATAGAGTTGAACGGATAAACAGATACACAATTATATTTAGACATTTAAACTATTCTCTCAACAATCAAAAGAACTAGACAGAAAATCAGCAAAGATATAGAGGAAATCAACAACACTATCAGCCAACAGGATCTAATCAACATCTGTAGGATGCTGCACCCAACAATAGCAGAAACACATCCTTTTCAAGCACCATAGATCATATGCTAAGATAGACCATATCCTGAGCCATAAAACAAACCTCAACAAATTTTTAAAATTTATTTCTTTTTAATTGAAGGATAATAGCTTTACAATATGTGTTGGTTTCTGCAATACATCAATATCAATCAGTCTTAGGTACACATGTTCCCTCCCTCTTGAACCTTCCTCCCACCTCCCACCTCCCACCCCTCTATAAACCTCAACAAATTTAAAAGAACTGAACTCATACAGTTCAGCTTCACTTGGGGAATAAATAAGTTCATAGTTCCTATTTATTTATTTAGTAAACTTACTTACTGAAACATAATTAAATCTTCCTAGCACAGAAGCTGGCATAAAAAAGTCTGATGAATGAACGAAACAGTCAATGAATGACGGAATGAAGGAACAAAAAAGAAAATATCTTGTTGTTCAGTTTCTTAGTTGTGTTCAGCTCTTTGCAACTCCGTGGACTACAGCATACCAGTCTTCCCTGTCCTTGACTAACTCCCAGTTTGCTCAAATTCATGTCCACTGAGTCAGTGATGCCATCCAACCATCTCATCCTCTGTCACCCCCTTCTCCTCCTGCCCTCAATCTTTCCCAGCATTAGGATCTTTTCCAATGAATCGGCTCTTCCCATCAGGTGGCCAAAGTATTGGAGCTTCAGCATGAGTCCTTCCAATGAATATTCAAGACTGATCTCCTTTAGGATTGACTGGTTTGATCTCCTTGCTGTCCAAGAGACTCTCAAGTCTTCTACAGTACCACAGTTCAAAAGCATCAGTTTTTTGGTGCTCAGCCTTCTTTATCATCCAACTCTCACATCTGTACATGACTAGTGGAAAAACCATAGCCTTGACTATATGGACTTTTGTCTGCAAAGTGATGTCTCTCCTTTTTAATACACTAGGTTTGTCATAGCTTTTCTTCTAGGGAGCAAGGATCTTTTAATTTCATGGCTCCAGTCACCTGCAGTGATTTTGGAGCCCAGGAAAAAAATTCTGTCACTGTTTCCATTTTTTCCCCATCTATTTGCCATGAAGTGATGGGACCAGATGCCATGATCTTAGCTTTTTTTTTTTTTCTTAATTGAAGGATAATTGCTTTACAGAATTTTGTTGGTTTCTGCCAAACATCAACATGAATCAGCCATCGTATACACATGTTCCCTCCTTCTTGAACCTCCCTCCCCATCCCACCGCTTTAGGTTCTTACAAAGCCCTGGTTTGAGTTCCCTGAATCATACAGCAAATTCCCATTGGCTATTTTACATGTGGTAAAGTAAGTTTCCATGTTACTCTCTCCATACATCCCATCCTCTCCTCTCCTTTCCCACCCCCTCCCCGCCTGCCCCCACCACTGTGTCCATAAGTCTGTTCTCCATGTCTGTGTCTCCACTGCTGCCCTGGAAATAATTCATCAGTACCATCTTTCTAGATTTCCATATGTATGCATTAGTATATGATATTTGTTTTTCTCTGACTTACTTCACTCTGTATAACAGGCTCTAGGTTCATCAACCTTATTACAACTGACTCAAAGGTGTTGTTCCTTTTTATGGCTGAGTAATATTCCATTGTATATATGTACCACTGCTTCTTTATCCATTATCGGTCAGTGCACATGTAGGTTGCTTCCATGTTCTAGCTATCATAAATAGTGCTGCCACGAACATTGGTTTACATGTGTCTTTTTCAATTTTGGTTTCCTCAAACCAAAATGTGCCTAGCAGTGGAATTTCTGGTTCATATGGTGGTTTTAATCTTAGTTTTTTTAAGGAATCTCCATACTGTCTTTCATAGTGGCTGTATCAATTTACATTCCCACCAACAGTACAGGAGGGTTCCCTTTTCTCCATACCTGCTCCAGCATTTATTGTTTATAGACTTTTTGATGATGCCTATTCTGACTGGTGTGAGGTGATATCTCATTGTAGTTTTGATTTGCATTTCTCTAATAATGAGCGACGTTGAACATCTTTTCATGTGTTTGTTAGCCATCTGTATGTCTTCCTTGAAGAAATGTCTGTTTAGGTCTTTTTCCACTTTTTTATTGGGTTGCTTATTTTTCTGATATAGACTTGTATGAGCTGCTTATATATTTTGGAAGTTAATCTTTTGCCTTATTTCATTTGCTATTATTTTCTCCCATTCTGGGGGTTGTTTTTCATGATCTTAATTTTTCAATGTTGAGTTTTAAGCCAGCTTCTTAACTCTCCTCTTTCACCTTCATCAAGAGGCTCTTTAGTTCCTCTTCTCTTTCTGCCATTAGAGTGGTATAATTTGCACATCTAAGGTTATTGATATTTCTCCTGGCAATCTTGATTCTAGCTTGTGACTCCTCCAGCCTGGCATTTCACATGATATTCTCTGCATAGAAGTTAAATAAGCAAGGTGACAACATAGAGCCTTGACGGACTCCTTTCCCAATTTTGAACCAGTCCATTGTTCCATGTCCAGTTCTAACTGTTGCTTCTTGACCTGCATACAGGTTTCTCAGGAGGCAGGTAAGGTGGTCTCATTCTGGAGGCCAACAAGCCTCTTTTTACAAAAGGTTAAGAATGAAAAATAAATGATGCTCTGGAATAAGTTGCAATATTACTTTATTAACTTTATTCAGTATTAACTTAAGGTATTTTCTATGATTTATTGAAAAAAATTTTTTATTCAGAAAAGCTCACAGAATCCCAGACACAGATGTTCTCTGTGCAGCAAAAGGGCTGCATTCTGACATGGCCAGCAGATGGCACCAGAGGATGTGGTTCAGCCCATGAGGCTGTCCTTTCATAAACCTTAGGCGTCCACCTTACCTCTTCCAGCCATGGCAAGGAGAGCCAGCCTAGTCCTTCCCTCTGTGGTCTGAGGAACCCCACCAACCACTGCTAGAGCGAGGATAGTGAGGATGCAGAGAGGAAAGTGTAGAAAATGCTAGTGTGATGCTTGACCAGAAAAAAAGGCAAGGAAAAGTGGGAGCAAGATGAGGGCTGGAGATGGGAAAGACATGAGGAAACTGAAATTCAAGTGGGAAGGACAGAGTAGACAGAATGGGATAGGAAATGATAAGCAAAGTCCCTGAGTTTGGGGCATGGAATACACAAGTGATGGATCACACACTTCCATTGTGTCTGGGAAAGGTCTAAAAGGATGGGTGTGTAGGCTAGCAGTCTGTGGATTTGTCAAGGAAGTTGCCTCCAGGTGGCTTCTATTTTGTCTGTGAAGCAGGAGACCATTCTGCCTGTTGACAGTTGGTAGGGGAGGGGAGGTGTCAAGAACTGAAGGGGTGCTGCAAGGGAAGCCCATGAGGACTGCTGGCCAGCACCAAGGATGTGTCTGGAGGATAACACTATCCAGCTCAGCTTCTTCTTTCACTTGCTCATTCATTCTGCAAATATTCACTGATAACCCACTATACCAGGCACTATTTTGGACAATGAAAGCTACAACCTGGGAGAAGAGGAAGGGGAGTAGACAGACAAATAAATAGACATATAAATTTAAAAATATGACATCATAGAAAGAGAAGGACTCTGAAGAAACAGGCAAAGGAAAGGATAGGGAGTGCTGAGAGTGCTGTGAATTGGGTGCTTAGGGAAGTCTTCCTAGAGAAGTGACAGTTGATTAGAGGGCTGAATGCAGCAAGGAAATGAGACCTGCATTACTGGGGGCAAGCATTCCAGATAAACAGGACAGCCAGGGTCAACAGAAGGGGGCCATGGAAGGAAGTGGGGCCAAAGAACAGGTCTCACAGGATGCTGGAAATCACGTTTTATGCTCAATATGATGGGAGTCACTGGAACTAGGGAAGCACATAACTGGATTCATATTGGTAAAAGGATCATACAGGCTCCTGTGTGGAGAACAGGCTAAAAGGGCCAAGCATGGAAGAAGGGACACCAGCTGGTCAGTATGAGAAAACACGCTTCATGTGAATCTACCATTATGTTTGGCAGACCATTAGTTAGACAGGCAGTTCTCTGAACGGAACCAACAGCCCACTTCACTCTTGCACCTTGGGCTCACCCATGGGCTCATTTTGACAGGCCCAAGCAAACTCAGAGTGACTCAAACCAGAGGCACTTCACTCCTACCTTTGTGTGTAGGTAGGATAGACATTCCAAGTGGCTCCCTTGAAGAGGAACACCTGTTCCAGAGCAGCAAAAGTAGAAAGAGACAGTACTTGCCAAGTATCCCAGGGAACCTGAAGGGACATTTCAGAGGTTTCCACAAAGCCACAAACCAAACACGTTGGTCGTGGATTCACTGATGCCCACAGCACAAGAAACCATGCAACCAGTTCTACGCAGAATCCAGTGCCAGGAAAGAACTTCCCTCTCAAGTGACCTCCCACAAGTGACAAGAATTGTGTAGCGGTTTTGGCACAAGGTGTTGGCCTGAGCATGCCATACTAGACACCCCTAATAGAGTCATTTGAGTATCAATCAAAGCCACAACTATAAGAAACCTAGTCACAGCAAGGAACTCATCCTGCATATATCTAGTCTTTGGTACATATTTCAGGTGGGCATATCCACTCATTTCTCTTGGGTGTATAGCCAGGAGTAGAAATGCTGCCAGGCACAAGGCCATTTTTTTTAGTAGAGTCAGCCACACAGTCTCCTAGTGTGGTTGCACCCATTCCACCCTGTCCATAATGGCCAAAGATTTTTGTTTTTTCATGGCACCAGCCTCTTTTTATCACACAATAACTAGAATAACCCTTCACTGTAGCACCAAACAGTGTAGCATCTGGGCTTCCCAGGTGGGGCTAGTGGTAAAGAACCTGTCTGCCAATGCAGAAGACATGAGACGTGGGTTCAATCCCTAAGTCGGGAAGATCTTCTGGAGAAGGAAATGGCAACCCATTCCAGTATTCTTGCCTAGAGAATTTCATGGACAGAGGAGCCTGGAGGGCTACAGTCCATAGGGTTGCAAAGAGTCAGACACGACTGAAACGACTTAGCATGCACGTAGCACCACAGACCTTGGATTAAGTCTCACACCACCTATCTGAGTGAACTTAGGTGCTTCACTTGTATTACATAACCCTCTGGAGGTTTTGTTCCCTCACTGGGGTGAATAACCCTCCCTAGTCTGAGGTGGCATCCATGTTAAATTAAGAGACTTTATGTCTAGCCCTTAGGTGTGGGCAAGTCAGACTACCCTCCTGACTTGCCCACACCTGAAGCTCCCCAACTTGCAATCACCAAATAAACTTCACCCTCATAGAGTTCTTTAAATTCCCACACTTGTGATCTGGAAATTCTACATATTATTTTCATCCTTCATACTTATGTGATGGGCCACTTCTGTCCATCCCAGCACAGTTAGTGGGGGAAATCCAGGACATGGGGAGGGGTCAAGACTGGATCAGTGCCTCCAAAGGTGAAGTTAATAGGAGGTGCTTCCTGCAACACAACTCTGGCCAGGAAGGAGACAGACACTCTTTGACCAAAGTAAGATCCAAATTTACATTGTCCATTTAAGTACCATTATGGTAAGATCTCCAAGACACATTATGTTAACTAAAACAAGCAAAATGCAGAACAGGATGGTTACTTTGTCACTTTCACATAAAAAGAGAGAAGGGTATATATTTATAATAACATACCTAGAAATGGATACCCAACATACTAATATATATAATATAATAATACTGCCATTGGGAGCGGCAGTGGTACTGGGGACAGCTGTGGGAGGAGGTTGTTCAGTGTATCCTTTTATGACTTTTGAACATGAACTACATTGATAGATCCTCTATTCAAAAAATATTTTAATACATATACTTACAATTTTTCAAGTTACCCATGAGGTGAATATGAATCCCTAACATAAACTCCATGAGGGATGTCGGGTAGGTCAACCTTCACAAAACAAGAATGCCTCTTTGACATGTGCATGTAGGTGGGTGTGCATGTAGGGGTGTGTAGAGGCATATCCATATGTTGGACATCATCACAGCCTAAGGTGAGGGAGGAAAGGATATAGAGTCATACGCAAGGCAGTGCCCTAAGCTTCTGAAGAGCTAACCCAATCTAAATTCACCCAGAGTTAAACCAGGGGGTGTACCCAGCTTTTCATCACATCCTCCACCACCCAACCCCTCAACTCTGTAGAATTCAAACTCTGTCACTAGAAATCTGGAGTAAGAAAATGACTAAATGTTCTTTAAGGTTTTATGCATGTGTGTATAGTTGTACGTGTGTATAGTTGTACTTGTGTATAGGTGTAAGGGTGTGGGGTAGTGTATCTGTGTAGGAGTGATGTATGTGTGTGTGGATATATAAGGGGTATATATGTGTTTGTATGTTCTCACCCGCCAAAGTGGCTGTACTTCTGTACTTCCCAGAAGTTTTTCTGGGAAAAAACTTCCCAGAAGTCAACTGGAGCATCCCAAGGGCAGAACCAGGGCCTTCTGGCCAGATGACATTGATTAATAATTAACACATCTGAGCTTGGCATGGACCCACAACAGGTGTCCCCTCCCATAAAACTCACCTTCACTCCATGTGGCTATGTTACCCAATCAGGCTCTGAGAAGTCCAACAAAAGGCCAGTCCAACCCAGGCCTATCTTGAAGGAGTTGGGGCTGGATAATGAGGGACTCTTACTCCTAAGGGGTCTCACTGGCAGGAAGGGAAACAATCACAACAGATTGGGGTAAGAGGATGCCCCTTCCACTAAAGGCAGACATCTTCTTTTCTGGGGGTATATCCAGACCATAGATAGCCCCATGATCCCCTCAAAGAAGATATGACAAACACACAAAGACATACATACACACACATGTACACACATACACACACACACACACATGAGGCTAAGAAAAATGGAAGAGAGAAGCTGAGGAGCACAGGAAGGGCAAGCCTCTTTTATTATCCCAAAATGCAAAGTATTGAAGGCACTTACAATAACAAGGTTAGAGATGAGGGGAAGCATAGGGAGGTCAGAGATCAGAGCACAGAGGTAAATCAACGGACCCCACCCTGGTCACCACCCAGGAAGGAGAAAAGAAGAAGCTACAGGGCCAGGTCTGAAGCCAGTTAGATGTCAGCTCTACAAAAGACACAAATCCATTCTAGAGAGGATTCAGAAATGAGGAGTACACAGCAGCAAGGAGCAGGGCTGGCAGTCACGAGTTAGTGGTTCTTTAAGGAACACGCTCGGCAGCAATGAGGCACTCAGGTCCCCTGCTGGAAGAGGTCTCGGTACATCTCAATGAGACGGGCAGCCTCACGCTGGCCAGAGAGCAGAGCACCATGGGTGGTGGAATAGTACTTGCGATGGGTGGCCTCACCTGAGAACAGCACCTGCATAGGCTGGGCAGGGGGACAGGGAAGTGAAAATGGAGGAGCAAGAAAGGCTACCTGTCTGCCCCAGAACCCCCATCCATACTACAAGTTAGAAAGGAATAAGTGGGCATCTGAGATGCAGGTATTGCTATTTCCATAGGATGAGGAGCTGCCCATCCCACTGCCCATCTTCCCCTGCTTCTTCCCCAAACATCCGGGCCTCAGTCCTTTTTGCTCTAAGGTTTTTGTGAGTCCTGGCTCTACAATTTCAGAAATTCACACTGCCTCTTACTAGTGAACTTGGGGAATGATTTAACCTCCCTAAGCTTTGATTTCTTCATCTCCAAAATGAGTTTATACCATCTACTTCTGAGGGTGATTGTAAAGATTAAGTGAAATAATGTATCTAAAGGACTCAGAACCTGAAGGAATATAAGAACTCAATAAAGTTAGGCAGTAATTTAACAAACCTTTATGGAGCCCCTATTAGGTTCCAGGGACTGTTCTGGGCACTTGGAAGATAAAAGGTGACCAGGCAGCTGCTTTGAGGAGCTTCCTTGCTGGTGGGGAAGCCAGACACGAAACCCAATTACTAAATGGCATCATACGTGATGTGATGGGTGTGTGGGCGAGGTACTGAGAGCCCAGAAAAGAGGCCCTCTGTCAGGGAGATCACACAAAGCTTCCCAGAGGACAGGACCTTTGGGCTTCTTCTCAGAAGATGCTGGATAAATAAACAGGCAAAGGATGTTTCAGGAAGAAGGAAAAATGGGGGCAGAAATGCATCTCCTAGGCCTTGTCTAGGAGATGGTGAGAATTTTGGCAGAGCCAAGCTTAACATCAAGAAAGCAGGCTGTTTAGGTGGGGTCCAAGCATAGAACAAATGCTTGCATTCCAAGCTTGAGTTTGGGTTTTATTCCAATATACCTCAAACTGAATGTGTTGGAGACCTTGTAGAATGAGGTTTTCATTCATCAGGTCTGGGGTGGGCTGCAAGTCTGCATGTCTAAATGCTCCCACATGGTGCCAGTCTGCCGGTCCATGGACCACCCACCTTGAGTAGTGAGGTTTTAACCCACCAATAAAGAGTCTGCAGAGGTGGTTAAGCTGAAAGGGGGGCACATATTGTGGCAGAGGGCAAGCCGCCTACTCCACATCCTTTCTTTCTCTCCTCAGTAACAAAAATCCTGACCTTTAACTGGGTCCATGGACAGAAGAGCCTGGCAGACTACAGTCCATGGGGTCACAAGAGTTGGACATGACTTAGCGACCAAACCACCACTACCACTGCCATCCAGGAAAAAAAAAGATGTATTCCCAGTCCCTCTAGCAGCTGGTAGAGTCATGTGACTAAGTTCTAGCCAATCAACTTCAAGTGCACTATTGCTTAGGGACACAGACTCCTCCCAAGGGTTCCCTTCTTTCACTCATCAGCCTGTCACAGACATGAGAACAAGAGCAGCAGCCTCCACAGCCCTCTTGGATCCCAAGGTGGCCTGGAAGATGGAGCCAGGTGCTACTGATACTGGGCCCCAACATCTACCTCCAGATTTCCTTTTGTGTGACCTAAGTAAACTTCTGTCTTGTTTAAACCGCAGTTTGTTTTGCTTTTTGTTATGTGCGCTAGTCCTAACTGATGCAGGGGACAAGAGAAGGAGGACGGCTATAGCAGCAGCCTTTCCTAAGCACAGCCAGGACAGGCACAACACATTGTTTAACTGCCATCTTCTTCATCAATTACACCAGAGAATTATTTTAAATATAATTCTGTTGGGGTTTTAACATTTATTGTACGGGTATGCTTGGTGGGGGGGAACTCAAAATCTACTTTATAGGAACAGTAAATATATATATTTATATATATAGGAAATATATATAAATAATTTCAATTTATTATTTTTCTATATGTTTTACAATATAGTTACTATAATTTGGGGGAAGGTCAGTATTTTGTTTTATTTTCTAAAACAAATTGGGGGAAATAAGCAAAACATACTGGGTCAGTGCTGCCCAACAGAACTTTCCACAATGACAGAAATGCTCCATAGTGACACACTCTAACGTGGCAACCATGAGTGACAGGTGGCTCTCAAACTTGAAATCTGGCTAATGCAACTGAGAAACAAAATGTCGTATTTATTACTTTAGATTTTAATTAAATTAAATGTGGCTAATGGCTACCATATAGGACAGCACAGAATTAAAAGGCTCGGTTTTTATAGTCTCAAGAAAGCATTTAAGATATCCTAGTTTGACTCTGTCTGTTCTTCCAGATGTTAAGTGTCCTTTTTCTCGTTTTCTCCATCATTACAGGAGCTACTCCACCTATCTTACCTTGGCACTCCTCCCCTGGACCGAACACACATACCAAACACCCACCCTCACAGACCCCTCACCCTGCAGCCATCGCCTACCCAGCACACCCACACTCACCGCTGTCTTGGAGCTCTCTGTGTACGGCAGGGGCTTGGCCAGCTTCTCCACATCTGCCCCACTTGAGCCCACCTGTGTGTATGAATAGGATCCCCGGAAGTAGGGGTTGCTGCCCCAGGCCGAGCGCAGGATTCGCCGAGGCTTTGGGATATTGGGGTTCCCTGTTGGGGAGTGAGAAGAGCCAGGGGGAGGGAGGATGAGAAATGGTTGCACAAAGAAGACACTCCTGAGCAGACAACTCCCATTGTACCTCGGGGGCTCCAAGAAGGCCAGGCATGAAGAAGGGAGGGAGGGAGGCTGGGGTTCAAGCTGTATACCCCTCAAAGTCTCCTTGTAATCCCCCAGAAAAACACCTCCTCTCCATGGGCCTTAATTTTCCTATCTGAAAAACATCCCAGATAATCATGTTCCCCCTTCCAACTTCAGGGGTTCTTGTGGAGCTCTTCTGGGATAGTGCAGGAAAGATGTTCAACTAAAAATCAGACAAAACAACCACAAGTCCATCTCTTAGCAAGACAACATGAGTAGGAAGTGGGCAATCTGAGGTTTTGGGGGTGATATCTGAGTTTTTCACCATCAGCCTTAGAAACAGAGAAGAAACACAGGGCCTGTGATCTTGAGTGTCTCAAATTCCAAATGGAGAAAGCTTGCAATTTAGGAGGCCAAAGCCAAGACACAGTGACCTACAGCATCTCTCCCAAGGTGTGCACCACCTCAGTTTCACAACCTGGGGATGAGGATGCTAGTACTGGTTCAGGAGACTCAGAGGGTCTAGAGGAGGAGGACAGACAGAGCGAGGCCTGTTGAGCCGGTGGCGGGACAAGGACCGGGACGCACCTGTGAACTGCCGCAGCATCTCTGTGCAGATCTCGGCCACTGCCTCGTCATCACACTTCTCCATGACAAGGGCCTCCTCCCCACAGATCCAGCCACTCAGCACATGGCCGTAGCGCTCAGGCGGGTAGAGGACATCAAAGCCACAGATCTTGCGGTACCAAAGCTCGGGCGGGTAGGTGAGCGTGCAGCTCTCCGCCTCGTCCTCCCACACAAACCGTAGGCTGTTGCACTCGGGGCCCCAGAAGGGCTCCTCGAATTCTAGAAAGATCTTGTCAGTGGTGCCGATGCCCAGTCGGTGGATGGCAGCCACCTTCTCGGCGGGCAGGCCTGGCTGAAAGAAGCTGGCATGCTGCCTCTTGAGCACGCCCAGCGACACGGTCACGATCACATGGTCTGCCGGGATCACCTCGCAGTCCTCGCACTCCACCACCACTGGCCACTGCTCATCCTCATCCTGCCTCTCCTCCCGGGGCTCCTCTCCACCCTGACTGCCCTCCCCGGCATCATGATTATGGTCACCCTCATCCCGGGGCTCAATCTCAGGGCCCCGAGGGCGGGATGAGGCCTGGTCCCAGTGAACACAACGGACGGGTTTCCCCAGCTGGATGACGTGGGCTGGGATGCCCTCAGCCAGCAGCTCCACAACCCGCATGAAGCCCGAGGGGATGACGTGGTGGGCACCAGGAATCTCAGTCCATTCCCCAAAGGCGCTCAGGGACACCTCATCCATGCTGTGCGAGCTACTCTCACAGCTTTCCACCTGTGGGAAGAGCCAGAGGGGAGCCAGGTGACCGCCAAGGCTGGGCAGGGATAGAAGCAGGACTTTAGGGCAGTGCTGCCCTTCTTGGACCCAACTTCCCCAGGGTCAGTCTTTCTCATTCTGGCATTTGTACTCAACAGAGCTCCGAGATGGCAAAGATACCTTCAGGTACTGTTGGATCATGGCGAGTTTCAGGCGCTTGGTGGCCTCTGGATCATCAGGGTCATCCCTGATGCGGTTGCGCACCTCCTCTCGGGTGAACACCCCCACGCTGTTCTGACTCTCAGCATTAACTGGTTTACCATGCCGGAAGAACTCCTGGGTCAAGTTATAGACCTGCAAAGAGATCCCAGGAGACTGAAAACACATTCACTCATCCCACCACCATCTCAGACCTACGGGTTCTAACTCAATACTCACCATCTCCAAAGTGTTCCCGGATATGCTGAGCCTCGTGGTGAATTAATGTGGTGCTCAGCTTTGTACTGAGGCTGCACCAACAAAATGGAGGTTTGGGGATGGCAAACTGAACCTGCGCAGTCGGCTTCCTTGCCTCCAGACACAGGAGGTGGGATGGGCCCCAGAAGCTCTCTTACTGAACCCCTGCTTAGAACAAAGTGAAATGTCTGCTGCCTGTACAGTGTGTGGGAAAGGAGCTGCCCTTTCAAGCTCTCTACATAGCCAAGCGTACCGCCCACTAAAGAACCCACGTCTACACAGATAACCCTTTTTCAAGAACCAAATGCACAGACTCTCCCCTGACATTCCTGTTCAAGTGTATCTGCTTCGCCCTCTCCCAGGAAGGCAGTATGGAGCTGTGTCCTGGCTGATGTTTTGCAGGGGAAAGAGCAAAAGGGGCCCATACATTGACAGGAATGTGTCTGCCCTGCAACCCAGCTCTAGGACTGCTGAGGAAGAAAGGTGGTATGGCCCAACCCCCACCAATCCCCCAAGGGAAAAGCCTCCACATAAGATAGAAACATAAATTAAACATTTCTCTGAATATAAAGAAAGCAAGTTAAATTATTCCTTTTTCTTCTCCCAACAGTCACAAGATGCTGGGTGTTTGGCTTTAACTGAAGTCCTCAGCAAATTCCTCACCTAGTACCACTGCCAAGGAGTCAGGCTTTCAACTTGCCTCCTCCCCCTTAGATTCTTCCCCTTGGCGATAAGAAACAGAGTAGCCAGCCAGTCAGCTCATGTCGACTAAAGGCCAAAATGCCCAGCTGAGGACTAACAGATTTACATGATTCTTTGTGTCAGCCACTGACTAGGACCGCCATAACTGAACATGCATTTGTCATGTGAGTAGTCTCCTGTCCTAGGTTAAATGACATCTTCCTAATGTGACCCAAGGGAAATGCGATGGGTCTGTAAGAGCTAACAATATTCACCCCATTTCTCATTAAGCACTTTTCACTGGGATCTCATTTACCCTTCAAGACACTATGAGGTAGGTATAACTGTGTCTGTTTTACAGATGAGGAAAGTAAAGCTCAGAGAGGCTCAATAACTAGCTCATGAATATACAAGTATATACCATTCTACATGAATGGTAAAACTGGTACCTGAGTCAAGGTAATCTTGCTCCAGAAATTAAGCTCTGTATGATAACTACCGAACAAATTCATCTATTTGTTAACAAATATAACACATTCAAATGAGTAGCCCTTCAAAGTCATCGCCTTGGGAGGGAGGCTACATATTTATTATGAAGCCACCCTCAGGCAAGGCTTCACATGCTTAGAGCACACCTCTTCAGAATGGCCTCCAGCACTGTCTAAGAGCTATATGAGGAAATCTCTCTCTTGACCTGATGGTGAACACCATTTCCTTCTGACTCAAAGCTGCACCACTTAGAATGATAATAATAATAATGTAATGTTAGTCGCTCAGTCATGTCTGACTCTTTGCAACCCCATGGACTGTAGCCCACCAGGCTCCTCTGTCCATGGAATTCTCCAGCAAGAACACTGGAGAGGGTGGCCATTTCCTTCTCCAATGATAACCTACCTTTATCTGTCCTACTGCCCATGACTCACACTCTTGGCTTTCAAAAATCAGACCCACAAGCAGAAGCTGATGATGATCTACCTTCAAGAACGTTTAAAAGAACCAGTAAGTTATGAACCCTGAATGTCATTCTCAAGAGGCATCCATGCTTGAAGCACTCACAGTAACATAGGAATCAGGACAGGACTGATTCTCAGTACACCAAGAAGGTCTACTTTCAAGAATACTAATTCTTACTTGCTAAGTATTGAGTGAGAACACACAACACTATCGGATTGTACACAACATACTGTATGAGTGCACACACATAAGACAGTGAGTGTTCCTGCCTTCCATTGGGCAGGGACAACCCAAAGCAAGGGTCATTTCTCCTTTCCTATGCCCAAGAAATATAAAAAATGTATAACAGGTAAGTGTTGACCAGTTTACTTACCTAAAGTGAAGGGTCATTACACTATAAATGGAAGCTATCAGAAGGCAAGACCTACAAGTTACCTTGCTTGTTTTTTGCAGTTCACAGCAAAGTTACTAAAAATATTAACTTTTTTTTAAGCTGGAATAAGACAAGGGCACATTCCTTAACTTCAGACTATATACAAAGCTACAGTAATCAAAACAGCATGGTACTGACACAAAAACAGACACACAGATCAATGGAACAAACTAGAGAGCCCAGAAATAAACCCACACACAATTAGTCTATGATAAAGGAGGCAGAATATATATGGGAAAAAGACAGCTTCTTCAACAAGTGGTGTTGGGGAAACTGGACAGCCATATGTGAAAGACTGAAATTAGAACATTTTCTCACACCATATACAAAAGTAAACTCAAAATGGACTAAAGACCTAAATGTAACAATGAAAATAATGAAACTCCTAGACGAGAACATAGGCAGAACACTCTGACATAAATTGAAGCACCTTTTTTCTCCTAAGGCAGAAGAAACAAAAGCAAAAACAAATTTAATTCAATCTAAAAGTTTTTGCACAGCAAAGGGAGTCACTGACAAAACAAAAAGACAACCTACTGAATGGAAAAATATATTTGCAGATAATATGACCAATAAGGGGTAATATCCAAAATATATAAACTGCTCATACAACTCAATTTAAAAAAAATCAACTTGATTAAAAAATGGGGAGAAGACCTGAATACACATTTTTCCAAAGAAGAAGTACAGATGGCCAATAGGCATATAAAAAGATGCTCAACATAGTTAATCATCAGAGAAATTAAAAATGACAATGAGATATCACACCTATCAGAAGAGCTATCATCAAAAAGAATACAAGTAACAAATATTGGTGAACATATGGAGAAAACAGAACCCTTTACCCTGTTGCCAGTAATGTAAATTGATGCAGCCACTATGGAAAATATGGAGGCTCCTCAAAATATTAAAAATTTAACTATCACATGACTGAGGAATTCCACCCCTGTGTATATATCCCAAGAAAAAGAAAATCTAATTTGAAGAAATACTTGTACCCCAAAGTTCACTGCAACATTATTTATAATAGCCAACCTATGGGAGCAACCTAAGTGCCCATCAACAGATGAATGTATAAAGAAGATGTTAGATAGATATAGATATAAAACATAGTTATATATGTAGTATACACACACGTGTTTTATATACATGTTAGATAGATATAAACTATATTGTTATATATATGTATATATACACACACACATTGGAATTTTACTCAGTCATAAAAAAGAATGAAAATCTGAAATTTTCAACAACATGCATGGACCTAGAGGGTATTATATTTACTGAAATAAGTGTGACAGAGAAAGACAAATACTCTATGTCATCACTTATATGTGAAATCTAAAAAATAAACAAACATAATGAAACAGAAATAGACTCAGATATAGAAGACAAACTAGTGGTTACCAGTGGAGAGAAGGAAGGAATGAAGGGTAAAACAGGGGTATGGGATTAAGAGATAAAAACTACTATGTATAAAAATAAATAAGCAACAAATATATATTGTACAGTACAGGGAAGTATAACCATTATCTTGTAATAACTTTAAGTGGAGTATAATGTATAAAAATGTTGAATCACTATGCTGTACACCTGAAATTAATATAATATTATAAATCAACTATACTTCAATTTTAAAAAAATCAGTTATAATTCTATATACCAGGAACAATTAGAAAATAAGGGTTTTTTTAAAGTTATCATTTACAAGAGTGTCTAAGAACATTAACAACAATAATCATACACATTTACCTGGTAACAAATCTAATAGATATTTAAGGGCTTTCTGGGGAAATATTTAATCATAAGTATCAATAATCTCTTCCCTAGTACTTCTCCTCTCATTGTCTTCATTCTACCCTCAAACTAGGGCCCAGAGAATGTACAGACATGACCAGGATCACAGAAAACCCTAGCAAGTTGCCTAGCCCCCCACCGCCATCACACACACACACACACACACAGTGCTGGTGTGCTCCCTGTCCCCCACACCCTTGTGCTCAACGATTCCCCTAACACCTCACCTCGTTGTATAAATCACTGAATTCCTCAACCACATCCTTGGGGATCCTGCAGCCACGGTTGGTGAGGTAGCAGGCCACGCCATTCTTGGAGTAGAGGCTGATGCGGCCCACACTGCGTTCTCCATCAGTTGTCTCTTCCAGGAGGCCATTGGCTTCTGCTAGATGATAGATAGGATTCCCGTGGGAGCCATGGATCCACGTGGCTCCCAGCTCAAAGGTAGCGTGTCCTGATGGCAAGAACAGGCTCTTAGCACGGCAAGGACTCTTCAAGCAGGGCCAGAACACTGCCTCATCTTCCTTCTCCAAGGGGACCCTTCCATCCCCAACAACAGGCCAAGGAAGGGGGTTAGGTCCCCCTCTGGCAACGAACCAAAGTCTTCAGTGAAAAGCACCCAGTAAGAAACCACATGCAGCACAAAATGGATTCCACTTTATAAATAAGGTAACTTCCACCCTCAGTGACTCTGACGACACCAAGTCGCCTCACTGGAATAATTAGAAGATTCTCCTTCTGTGATAACATCAGACAATAGGCCCTCCCTCCTCAGTGGTGCCTCCCTCTCAGGAGAAATTCTATGGTACCAGAGGGTACCACGTGGTACAGGTACCTGAAATACCCAGTGAGGAGGCCCAGCCTTCCAGACCCAAGGTCCCCATTTGGCCTTATTCCAATTCCTCAAAATCCAGTGGTTCAGGAATTTAAGCCACTCACCCAGATGGAAAACAGCCAACTCCTAACTCAGTCTAGGGCAGAAGAAAGAGGGAAAACATTCCAGTTTTGAAGACTCCTCCCCAAGGCAATCTAAAACAGACTTCTGGAAAAAACTAAGCTTTCTCATCCTATGGCACAGGTGGTGAAAACTTAAGAGACTGTTTGGGGTAAGGGAAACTCCTGGGCCCAAATTGGGACAAGGCTGGTGGCTCATTTTACCACCCCATCCATAGCCAAGGGACCAGATACTCTGAGGCAAGTTCCCACTGTGCCAGAGCCTCTTTCCTCTTCTGGGGCTCAATTTCCTTTTCTCATGCTGCAGAGCCTGTGATATAGTTGCCTCCTCCCCTGCCTAGCTCCCAGGAAAGTTGAAACAAAGAAAGGAAAATATAGAGGAACATTTTTTGGTGTTTTGTTTTGTTTTTTGTTTTTGGAGGCCTGATTCAACACATCATGTATGATAACTTTTTTGCCAAGATGGACACAATAATTCCTCCTATCCTTACACACATGGCCCTTTGCAATGTGACTTTGACAGTCCTCCCATCAAGAGATGGGGTCTTTCCTCACCCCTTGAATCTGGGCTTGCCTTATGACTTTCTTTGATTAATAGAATGCAATGAAAGCAATGTTGTGGCTTCAGAGACTAGGCCTCAAAAAACCTTGTGCCTTCTATCCTCACCCTCTTAGACTGTGACCACCATGAAGAGAAACTCAAGTTTCTGGAGCCACAGAACATCAGCAAATAAAGTGATATTGTTTTAAGCCACTATATTTCAGGCTGGTCTGTTATGCAGCAATAGCTATCTTATAAACAATAACAGACAACAATCATCCCTCACCCCAGGAATTGGGCATTCCTCTTTTTTTTTGTGCCTTCTCTTTCCTGGGCTGCTTCTAATTAAACCACCAGTTCAAAAAAAAAAAAAAAAAGCCCTGTAGCCCTGTATGCATCTATGTGCCAAACACAGAGCAAGAGAAAAAACAATCAACCTCAAACCACAGCCAGTAAGACAGAACTTCCTGGTGACTCTGGAATCAGGGGCAGGAATGTATGGGTCCCTTTGTCCAGGGAAAGTGGGCAGACTAGAAGGTAAGAAAAGCTGGAAACCCAGTGCCCTTCTTCCACAGGGTTCAGGGAGGGGGGCTGGTCCCTGGGGACATTTATCACTAATTATCCTTTAGGGCCTCAAGTTCCCCAAGGCATTTGTTTTTGTTTTGCTTCTTTTGAGCTTCCAAAAGAAGCAGAAGGGGCTTGCATCACGGACCCTTCCCAGGGTACACCAGAGAGTTCCAAGTCATAGCCACTGGGCAGCAATGTCCAGGCATGGGGTATCCAGGCAGAAGCAGGAAGGAGCTGAACAGCTCAAGGTCAGCAACATCAGAGTTCCACCCTATCCCTCAAGCTCTACAAGGAGGTGGGGTGGCCCGAGCAGCCTCAGCCTTAGGATGTTTCCTGTCCTCCCCCACAGGCCTCTCACCTCTGCCGTCCTTGTAACCACAGGGTAGCGGGCACCATCTCTACAAATACCCTACAGTGTCCTTGGGGCTTCTGGTCATCACCACTGCCCTTACCACCGGGATTCACAGCTAGCATCTCACACCGCTGCAGGTCCAACTGCAGCCTGGGCTTTCAGCCCCAGGTGTCTGCACACACAACACCTACACGCTTGCCTGGACTTGCTCTCCATAGTCTAGCAGAGTCTGCCTTGATCTGATTCCTCATATACATCATCCGTTCCTTCTTTTGACCAGCTATCCAATTCCCCTCATCACCTAAAGCCCACCCAAGCTCCCTCCCCTCCGAGGGAGGCTTCCAGCCACATGCATCTCCTCAGCCTCCTGTAGCCCCATTCCTTCCACTTCGCTCCCTCTACCAACTTCCCTGCAAAGCACATCTCAGTTGTCAACTACCACTGAGACTGGGCCATTTGTCCTCCCGTCTTCCGCTTTTATGTCAGACCCTGAATGTCTCATCAAGACTTGAGAACCACAAATGGAGCCATCCCATCCCTAAAGCTCCTAGCCAGCCAATCGCTAAGACTCCTAGCCAGCCAGTTGGTGTTGAGCAGTCTCCAGGCTTCCCCCAGGAGGTCCCCCAGCTGACTGTCCTCAGGTTTCCACTGTGCTTTGGGACACACTTCCGTCTTCACTGCCAACACATATTCCTGTGTCTGCCAGGGAAGACAGATATAACTTCACATATACCTTCCAGGAAATGCTCTAAGGAAGACTTTTAATGTGATCAAAGTTTTTTAAAAAATAAAAAGTTTCCCATGTCTCCTCAACCTCTGCTTGTTCTAAGCCTGACCACCTACTTTTCTGAACCAATTGCCCCATTCGTCAAAAGTAAATGCACAGAATCTGCTTGGCCTTGCAGCCCAGGTAACAATAAACACAAAATCCTATGGAGGGTCAGTGTAACCCACATACACCAGGCCACCATGGGTAGTCCCACTGGGCCATTTTCATTGTCAGACCCCTTGGCTAGGAAACCCTGACCTCTGGCTGCATTTCAGGCAATCCCCCACCCTCTAGGACCCCTAGCTAAATCTGCCCACTCCTGGGGTGTGTCTCTTAACTGATTGCCTTCTCCAGAAGCCTTAATACTCTGAAACCTACACAGATCCTCTTCCCAGACAATCCTAAGACCTGCCCATCACTCGCAAGGAGGCCCAAAGTCTTCTTCCACCTCCACTGCGCTGAGTTCCTATTGTCCCAGGGCTAGCTCTTAGTAATGGTATACTAAATCATATTCAAAAGTTAACAACTAATAGAAACTTTCACAATTCCCCTTCTTATGAAGTAGAAACAAGTCTGCCCACTACAAAGACAGTTGGGTTCTGGGTGTCCTCTCCCACCTAAACACTGTGAACTCTAGATTTTGTTCCAAAAACAGAGGCCAGACTCCCATTCCGCACACCTCAGAAGGGTGCTGAGGAGGCAAAGGAAGTTTCTGGAAAATGCCCAGGCAGCATGCATGGCAGAACACTAAACCCTGGGGAAAAAACTAAAATAACAAGATCTCAGGCTAGGCCAGGGCTCTGGGAGGCAAGAGGTGACCTAGGGAGATGACTGGACTGAGATGAATGAGGCACTCACCAAGTTTCACACTCTGTACACGGCCCCCGATGCGGCTGGACGCCTCAAGCACAGTGACATCTGTAAAGCCCTGCTCCAGAAGTGCTTTGGCTGCAGCCAGGCCAGCCAAGCCAGCGCCGATCACCACCACACGAGGCTGTCCCCTTCTCCGCAGGCCACGACTGAGAGGGTCATCCGCGCTGTCGCCACTGGATTCACAACTTTGCATACCGTCCACACTCGCCTCCTAGGAACCTGGAGCGGGGAGGGGGTCACAGCTCACCTGCTCTGCCTTCACTTCACACCTGCCCCAGGAGATGCTCCCAGCCTCTGCCCTCAAGGGGGGACCTTGAGCCCTCTCGTTCTCTTCTGAGGATCTGGGCAAGAAGAGCCATCTCCAAAGGATGTAGGGAGGGAGGAAAAGAGGGAGCCATGAGGAAGGAAATAGGAAGGAGGTTATGTACTGTGGGCCCTCATCAGCAAATAGGAGAGCTGAGAGCCCATCCCAAACCCCTGAAATCCATCAATCCCACCCCAGATCAACTAGGTACTGCCTCTTCCTCAAGGACGAGACAAGAGTCAGCAAGAAAGAGGATGATCAAGAAGGTCAAAATTAGGAGAAACTGACCCTGGTGCTGCTGACCCCGGATCAGCACAACCCAGCACAGCCCAGCATCACTGCTGTGGTCCAGCTCACGCCAACCTCAGGATGCTCACATGGACCCCAGGATGCTGTACAGACCTCAGGGTGCTGGCACCAAGCCCAGGATACTTGTACCCACTGCACTAGACCCTCTACTCTCCCTCCCTGGCCTGACCCTTCCCTGGCCCTCACTCTCCCTTCCGCTGTCTTCTCTTCTCCTCTTGCTTTCTGTTAGTCTTTCAGAGCCTAAATGAGGTGGCAATTTGGTGGGCAGGACACAGTCCCACCTTCCCCCAAGAAAGTGCCACGAGGCTGGTATTGAATGAACCTCTGCTATTCCGGGTAGGTCTCCGGTTTTTTGTCCCAGGCCACCCAGCCCCTCAGTCACCACAAAGCAGCAAAGAGCCCAGGAAACAGTGGACCGTGAGGACCTGTGGCACCAGAGGCCAGACATCAAATTGACAGTTACACTAAGCCAGCTTGCTCAGAGACGCCAGTCTAGGGAGCTGATGAGAGGCCAAAGGTGTCCCTGAATCTGGCCCCAGGGCTGGGAGAGGTTGCCCTTCTATTCCCAGAGTGACTATAAGGGCTTGAAGGTATCTTTGGGCCATCCCAAGGGGCCACTCAGCTCAGATCCTGTCCCCACTTCCTTCCTGACCCAAGCTGCCTTTGCTAAGCTTTCAGAGGCAGAAGTTGCATACTGTCCTGTTATTCAAACTATCCATAGTATTCAAGACCTAACAACAAGGAAATGAATTCATGAGTGGAAAGTAGCTGCTGGGCAATGGAGAGGGGGCATATAAATCTAATAAAGCTAAGAAAAACCCTTCCTATGACACAACAATTCCACTCCTAAGAAAACACCCAAGAGAAACAGGGTATACTCCACCAAACAGATACACTAGAATGTTCATGACAGCTTTCTTCATGATAACCAAAAACAAATATCCCAAAGGTCCATCAACAGAAGACTAGAAAAATATATTGTACTATTTGTAGTGTACTCATACAAGGTAATATTCTTCAGCAACAAACAGAACCAAACTACTCTCAACAACATTACATTGACAAAAGAAGCCAGAAACAAAAGAGCACCATATTGTATGACTCTATTTATGTGAAATTCATGAAGCCGTAAAATGAATCTGTGATGGTAGAAGAGAGATTGGGAGGAGGGGAATGAGTGAAAGGGTCAGAAGGGAACTTTCTGGACTGGAAGGAAATGTACTATGAATGGTGGTTAGTGCCACTATATATATGTATGCATAAACACCTCAATAACTATTCCTGGCTCACTGTAAAAAATAAAAGCTGTGCACTAACCTTCTTCCCACACTTCAAGGTCTGACCACTTAGGTTTCCATCCCACCTCTAACATTTTTTTATCACAGATTTTAGAAGAGTTATTTTTTAAAATATGCTCAGGCTGAGAAGTTGCTCCTTGAATTCCTCTTCCCACTCTACCTGCCGATGTCACACCTGGACACGGACAGGAGTGTCACCCCATTCCTGCCCCCAAACTCTCTCCAAACTGCACCCCACCCCCCATCCCCCTGCTGCCCTACTCGGTGGAGGACCTATTCCCTAGAGGGCCGGAAGGTGGCGCCCGAGACACGGAGACCTTCAGAGAACCTGTATCCCGGCTTCCACATTCTTCCTAGTGCGTCTTTGGTCTCGCCCACCCCCACCCCAGTGATGTTCGGTTCAGCCTCCTGGGAGCAAGGAGGTCAGAGCTGGCTCGAGCCCTTTCCTCCCCTCCCCCTTAGCCTTCCTCCGCTCCCCCTCTGCCTCCCTCCGCTTCCTCCCCAGGTTCTCCTTGGGAGGACTAAAATTAGAGGTGAGGGTGTGGCTGCCTGTACCAGCGGCCGACGGAGAGGAAGAGTCCACCCCGCAGCGCAGGCAAGAAGTGTATTCTACATCAGGTTTGTAAACACGCAGGGAGCACCTGCGTAAACCAGTGTAAACACTGAGCACTCTGCTATGCTATGCGAGTATGGAGACTGCCCACCCTGCCCCGACGCCCCAGTTCTCCAAGCCTGGGGGGCTCTGCCTTGGCGTTGCTCCCTAGGCCTCCAGCCCCACCCCCAACCTGAGGCTGCTCCCCCAAAACAACCACTTTTACGCTGTAAAGGGGTAGGATTACTGCAGTGGTTCTCAGACCTTACAGATGGAACCCCTTCTCGAAAAGCTCCTGGGGAGACCAAGGTGTAACTGGGATGAAACGGGATCTCTCTACTCCTTCAAGTCCCTAAGGTCTCAGGGCAGAACTCCCTGGCTCCCTGGAGCACCACCTCTGAAAACGTGGAGGAGTAGGATAACTTCGGCCTTGGGAGGCCTGTGGAGGGAAGAAATGCTTGGGGCAGCACATTGGGGTGGGGGATACCTAAACTTCCTGGCTTTCCAATCTCCATTTCTTTCTCTCTCAAGTGGTCCAGCTTGTCCTAACCTACATTATTATGACAGTTAAACAAGGCCTTATGTGGATGTCTAGAGATTGTCAGCATTTTTAAGAGCCTTGTCCAGGAAAATCATTTGTAAAGTTCTGTAGCTAAATTTTTTAAAGATATTTATTTATTTATTTAGATTGTCTGTATTTACTTATTTTAAAATAAGCATCTAAGAACTCATCATCTAATACAAAAACTAGAAAATTGATAATAACTAAATTTTTCTTAGACTGCCTTTGGTATAGGCTTCAGGAATGGATTGCAGGAAATGTGGGCAGGCAGCTTGCCTTTAAGATGAACCCACAAAGGACCCCAAGTTCCCAACATATCAGAGACCTTCAACTTAAAGAGACATCATGCATACGGTGCCATGGTATATATGTTAGTTGCTTAGTTGTGTCTGACTGTTTGTGACCCCATGGACTGTAGCCCGTCAGGCTCCTCTGTCCATGGAATTCTTCAGGCAAGAATACTAGAGTGGGTTGCCATTCCTTAGCTTCCCAACCCAGGAATCAAACCCAGGTCTTCTGCATTACAGGCAGATTCTTTACCATCTGAGCTATAGGGAAGTCATGGTGGAAACAGGTAAACAGGGGCCATATCAGTCACCTATTCCACTGGCCCTCACTGCTAACCCTAGTTCTCTGTCTCCACAACCCTTGTCCCAGATGGGCCTATCAACCCCTGGGGCCCTTAAGCCAGAGACGCTGCAAGCACTGTCCATAGATGGCAAAATGAGGCATCTCCATCCTCCCGTAGAGTCAGTCTATCCCGGGATACAAACTGAAGGGAAGAGAGGAAACTATACGTAGCAACACCTACTGTGTGCTGGGCCCTCAGGTAAACGCTGAACTGGACTTTTGGACCCTCTGTTACCTCAGAATAGGAGGGAGCACATTTGTTTTCTGTTGGTTTGTGCCATCTCTTCCTTTGAAATTTTTTAATTTTATGAGAAAATGCCTTACTGGAGAAGAAAAATCACTTAATGCTCCTTGGTGCTTGCCTCTCCTTCTCTTGCCTTCAGTAAATAAATAAATAAATAAATAAATAAATAACATCCCCTTCCTTGATCTGTATGCATAGGAGAAACAGAACACCCTGTACTTTTGGAGCAGATAAAGGAGAGAAGAAAAAAGTGCTGGCTCAGCCAGGCAGGGAGGGGGAGGGGGAGGAGGAGGCGGAGAAGGAGCTGGGACAGGGCGAAAGACTCTTGCCTTCGGGCTCCTGTTTCCAAGGCAAAACAGGGGTAGGAGGGTAGGGCCCCCATGTCCCCAGGCAGGCCATGCCTAGTTGCTTCAAGAAATCAGGTCCACCCTGGTTCAAGATATCCAGATGCCTCACTGCCTCCCCACCCAACCCCCACCCCCCTCCTACCCTCACTCCCATTTTCTCTGGCCTGCAGGCCACCACCTCCCCCTGCAGGCCAGAGCCAACACTGCCCCAACTGAACCCACCCAAGCAGCCAAATTGGAAAGCAGACAGAAGAGAGAATAAAGGGAAGAAGGGCCCTGTCCTGTGGCAGGGTCACCAAAGAAGGATGAGTGAAGGCTACGAGGCCAGGTGCCATGAATGGGCACCAGCCACCGAGCATATGTCCACTGCCACTTTCCCACCCGCCCTCTCTCAACATACTCACAAGTTTCATTTTGTCACCCTCAGAAATTTACCCTCCAAGAAATTTAAAAAGTAAAAGAGATAGTCCTATCCAACCCGCCAAGAAGAATTTCCTAATTGCCAGATACTAAAAACATGTTTTAGTCCTGGCCTCCAACATCTAAATTTGCTGAGCCACTTTGCTGAGACCAGAACTGAACTGGGAACACCATGCATCTCCTTATGCTTCCTCAACCACAGTAAAACCACTGAAGGGCCAGAGCACTCACAAGGCTCAAAAACATCCTAAGGAGAAGTTCTGCCCTTACCCCTCAGGTCAAGTCTTGTCAACCCCACACCCCATATCACTGTTCCCCAGGTGCCTGCCTGCCTGCCTCCTCTGACTGAACCACACTCCTGGAGGATTGTTGGACCTATTCCAAGTTCCATCCCTTAAAGACAGCATGTTGTTTAGTCACTAAGTTGTGTCCAACTCTTTGTGACCCCATTGGACAACAGCACACCCGGCATCCCTGTCCCTCACTA